TATGTACACAAAGCACCGCTAATTAGTTCGAGGCGCTACACATCGACATTACTATCATTTACACAGTGAACATGTGTGGGTAATTTCATATTAATAGATATGTATAGAAACATTCGTTCTATCACACACATCTTGGTATTACATATCATTTTTGTGTCGGTATACGTAATATTTTAGTAAATAAGTTTAAATAAAAACGAGGGTAAAGATAAAAATACTCATAACAAACTTTGAATAAATCGAAATCAAAAATAATGAACGATCGAGCAATACAATACTTATATAAATATAGTGCATTCTCATTGTATTTTTATGTTACTGAATGATATACAATATTTCGATGTTCTCATCTACGGCGCGCTTGGCGCAATGGTTATCGCCTCCAGTGGTCAAGTAAAGTGCCACCGGATCGATTCCAGCATTCACATGTTGTTTTAGTATTAATTAATCAAATATTTGAAATGTGAAATTAGAAACAATTAAATCTTTTCTTTTTTTCCTATCCTATTTTTCTAAATCTTATGTTAATTTTAATAGTAAATACTTTAGATTTATTTATACCTATAATATCCTTTATTTATATTTTAGTTCTAGTTATTTATTATTTAGAATAATTTAGAATGATTGGAAGAACTTTAAAGTTAACATGTGGTATATAATTAATTATTAGATATAAATATTGAATATAAAACCACATATTTGTATAATTAATAAATTAATTTTAATAAAAAATAGTATTGTTTTATTTACCGACTGATTTGCTTCTTTTATAGCCTGATATTTATATTATATGACAAAAAACAAAAAAAAAATAAATAAGAAAAACAACAAGGTAAAATAAAAAAAAACTTTTAGCTGGAATAGAACCCACATCATCATTGATCCTTGAAAGACGATAAAAGCGTACTCATTAACCAATCGACCACGAGCACTACGATAATTACAGTGAAAATGTCGGGTCATATCAATGATTGTAAATAGTTTTAACCTTACCCATGCATTAAATTATAAAAATACGTATACCGACACAAGAATGAAAATACCAATGTGAACGTGGTGGACGAATATTTTTATACACAGTAATATGAAATTACCCACACATGTACATTGTGTAAATGACAGTAGTGTCGATGTGAGCGTTACGAACTAATTAGCGGTGCTTTGTGTACGTATGATTGATGAATAGAACATAGGACAGTTGCAAAAATAAATACTAATTCATATCTAAAAATTAAACTACTTCACCACCCTTTATACTAAATTAAAGTTCATTAAACTATTTGACTGCACAGTTGGCGCGGTGGCTGGACAACAGGCTGCCTTGCAACTGGTCACAGGTTCGATTCCCGCACGTAACAACTCTTTGTGTGATCCACAGATTGTTGTGGTGTCATTATGTATGTGAACTTGTATGTTTGTAAACACATCCACAACACGGGAGAAAATCATAGTATGGGGCAACATTCTTAAAATAATTCAAATTTACTCGGAAAAAGTAGACCACCTAATAAAATAGTAATGTGTGATCTTGTCTCATCACCCCTATCACCAGAGAGTTACAAGTACATATTAAATTACAATCATATGTCGTATCATAAATTTATATTATATTCGTCTTACTATCAGATCTGCCTACCTCAATAAAGTAGCTCGATCCCTCCACTCAGCATTCCTACGATGTGTCCTGGCGACTCCACTGGCAGCGAGGACCGCCAGACCAATCGCCAGGTACACCTTCGTGCCAGGCTTCGAACACCACATCAGTTGTACACCGTACGCTGTGATTATTACACTACCCACGCTGAAAAAAAAAGCCTGGTCAGACATTTCATTATCAACAGTTGAGGATTTTTACTGCTGGAGTACGTAGAACTGTGATCTCTACGCTTAGCAAAGAAATTGGAAATCGCAGCTTAATCTAACACATGTCATGTTATGTGTTACGTACGCATAACTTGATCGGATACTATTTACTGAGTGAAGTAGTAGCGTACAAATGGAAAGTCGATACGATGTTAAATAATTATACTAAGAAAATTCGTTGCCAACTTGCAAAATACAATATACGCGTAAGTAGCTTGTTATCAATAAAAACATGTTTGTTTTTCATTTATTTACAAAATCGAAAATTCATTTATTTATTTATTTATTTTTTATTTATTTAAATAGGTATACCAACAGCTTCTGTATACATAGTATTAAGAGATTATGAAAGTAACAATGTATTAGGCCTATACAGTCGCCAATTATAGGTTAACCAACATTTAATTACTAAGTGATAACAAAAACTACAGACACAAAAATGAACGAGAACAATAAAATTTTAGTTACTACAAAAGAAACTACTTCTAACGAAATTAACATTAGATTAACAAAAGAAGAAAACAAGCATGTTTCGTAAAAATTTGAATGTTAAAAAATATACTAAGCTAAGGACATGAACATTTTTAAAGATTTGTATATAAAGAATTGAGATTCAGAAAAATGTGATATGGACACTTACTACTAATACGTTTATATCAATAAAAGTTGAATAGCATAAAATAGAAATAGTTAAGTTAAATACCATTTCATTTTTAAACAACGCAATAAATTAGTACAATATTTGTAAAGTTAGCAATCAACTCAAATTGTTTGTTTACAATTCAAATAATTGGATACTCCATAGTATGATATCAAAAACCGAATTAGTATTTAAAACGGAGCGTTTTTACGATATGACCTTTATTTTAACGCAAATATAGTTTCAGTATTTACCAATAGGGAACATGTACAAAACGTACCAATATTTCATAGTTATACTAATTCATAAACAAAGTATTAAATTGGAAACTTTTTCATTGAAAATTCGAAACTAAAATTGGAACAAAACTAATCAAACAGTGATATTGTTGGAGTAGAGTATTCATTTGAATATATTTTACCTTGGTATATAAAGCACTCTCTCGGCAATTACAAATCCCACTGTTACCAATAAATTGCTGGCAGGCACAAAGGGTAGAACCATTAGGAGGACGCCGATCACTGCTGGCGTGTGCTTCTGTACCTGTCAACACAAAAATGTCATAGAATTTCTTTAGCTTTTTTATATTTTAATAAAAAATTTAATTGCTATCGTGTTCATAATATACCTCTACAATGATTTGCTATGTTAGTTTAGTTAATTGCGATCATAATATAATTAATTGTATTTTATTGAACGTACTTAAATTGCTGGTCTGTCTGATCTCTAGGTACTCTACTAAATCAATAATAAAAACTTAAAATTACCTCTAAATCGGCAATAAACCGATAGCACAGTACCAGCAGTGCCCCAAAAGCGGCACAAGTGAGCAAGTTCCTGGGGTCCCAACCGCTGGTGATCAATGGCACTGACCCCATCTGCCAGTCGTGGCTGAGAGTCCACGGACATAGGAGCAACCACCAGTTGAATGCCGCTAGGTAGCAGAACGTCATCAATCTAAAAGAAATAATGGAACATGTGATAAACGCCCGAATACTGAAGGGATTCGTAATTATATGGAAGTCTTTAAAAAGTTAACTGTGATTTTACTTGTCATTACATGTTTCCTCGACTACTGTGTATTTACGTCAATTCCATATAATTTGGTTTTCTATTCTACGTGTAGACAAGACACTCCTTCTCGCCTAACCTAAGGCGGGAGAAGTCATTCGATGATTTTCCCCCTCAAAAAAAGGCTCATCATTACAAATAAAAGACTATACAAAAGACAAAAATATGTGTTGAGGAACATGCATAATGATGATATTTAAATATGTAACATTACATTTAGAATAGCTCCATATGAATACTATACCTGACAAAAAAACTAGGATGAAAGGCAGCTGGATTATCTTGTGGCGAGAATGAGGGCCACGTCCCTTGTAATAGTGCTAGTCTCAGACAGACCAGCAAGGCTAAAGAAACTACCACTTTTATAGTCCTTAGTGATAGCCCTGTACATTTCTTCTCAATTTTTAAGGAACATATTGATCTGAAAATTAAAATTGTATTAAGCAAATTTACTTAAAGACCTAGTTCAAACACACGGATTCTCGTTTGTAGTAATATTTGTTCATCTTTCATAGTAGTTACCGAGTAAAAATCTCGGCGAGCTCTCCAACAAATGAGAAGCAAATAAAAGCTACAAGTGTCCGACAAGTACTATGAACTAGAAGGTCGCGGGTTCATTACGAAACTCGTTGAAATATTGTGGGGCACCCAGTTCTAACTGATGCATACTTTGTGGAACAAAAAAATTCTTTGAAACTAGGTCCAATTAGCATTACGTTTTTATATTTTCTGCTGCCTCAACTTCACTAATTACGTTTTTATCTAGAACTATCTAGATCAACTTGATGCTTTTACAAATTAAGCCCGTTGTTATTGTAACCTTTTTCTTAAATGAACATAAACAACGTCAATTTATCTTCGCCTCTTACAATGGAAGACATCGTCGAGATAAAACAGATTTTCCAAAACATAAACTCAAGTCCATCAAGGTAAAGAATTTCATAAAAGATTAAAATCTATTACAATACCTTTTAACAAACGGCCAACATCTATAAAAGTCGAAGGCTAGATTGAGTATAAATATCATGATGCCAGTTTCTTTGGCCAGCATACTGAGAGCTCCGAGCACGACGCTGAGCCAAACACACTTCTTGTTGCTCGGAGGCCTAAAAGAGATGGACGATGTTTTATATGGTATATTTATTAGGATAGGGCTTTGAAGGGAGTGTAGCGGAAATGAGGAGGTTGATTATATTTTCTCTTATGTTTCAATTTGGATGCTGATAGAGAATTAAGTTAATAGCGTATGTACAGCTGGTTTTAATGGACCATGTGGCAATATACCAAACATTAATCCCTTCATCGTAAAAATGATAGCTCTATGAAATGGTTTCCAAATGGAAAGATATAAAAGAGTTTAGTCAGAGAGAGGTTGGCAATCGCTCGATATAAAGCTTCTATTTAATAGCTACGCCACTTGTGAGAGTATTACAGTACTTCACTATTACCATGGGATTAAGCGAATGGTTCTCGTTTTCCAAAAAAACTTAAGAGGCTTTGCCTGTCACAAAATATACGAAACATTCAATTGAAATACATTCGCAAAGTATTTGTGAAATAAATCTTCTGTAGATAAAATATTCGAGAATCTAAGTACTTAATGTGAAGACTCTTTTTTATTTTTATTACAATTTCAATGTGGAAAGAATGGAATGGTAATGCATATTTTATGATTTTAATTGCATTGTAAATAAAATAAAATTAAATGGAACAAAGTAACTGTGACTGCGATATTATTCATAATGTACTTTACGTTATATGTACGAATAGAGTTTTCCTTTGTGAATATATTTTATTTAATGCACGTTGAGAGTACAAAGAGGAAAGAGGTCAAACAATTCCTTACTGCCTTATATTTTACGAATAAAGTAATAAGTAGATGCTCGTTTAAAAATGACAATTAATTACATAAAATATTGTTGTTTTTGGTTTAAACTGTCAAACACCAACCGGTCACCGGTGACCGCAACCTATTGTTCTATAATTGTGTCTACAAAACCGGTACTCGACGAGTTAATAAAAATCAAAAATGGAAGGCAAATGACTGACATTATGCTTTAAATTGATAATAACAATGAATTATCAAATGATAAAAAAAAAACTTCAAGAGTGTACTCACCTGTGATAAACTAGAAGTGATGATAGAAAAAAAATACAAGCTAACACATCAGCTCTGCCTACTACTCCAGCTACCTGCCGACAATAGACACATATTTTAACTACACACATAAATAAAGCAATAACTATTAAAATCATAATGGTCCACGGTATTAAGCTGAGCTCCAGCCTTTTGCGCTGCGACGCACCATAGGTCTCTTTGTGTGTTCCTGAATTCTTGTTGTGTGTCGTAGCAAAATAAATGGTTTTTCTTTCTTTCTTTATAATTATATCTACATATAACATAACATAACGCCTATTATCCCCGAAGGGGTAGGCAGAGGTGCACACAGAAGTAACACCCACTTTTCACTATTTATGTTATGAGTCCCATCTAATAGGGGTGAGCCTATTGACATATACCGGGCACATTTTCAGACTCCGTGCTTGAGAATTTTTTAAAAACCCAGTAATACTTTGCCCGACCGTACCCGAACCCGAGACCCCTTGCCCGGCAGTCGCACTTGCGACCACTCGGTCAACGAAGCAGTCTATAAGTTGTCAAATTATATCTATAAGTTGTCAAAAGTAGTTTATTGATTGACATACTTGACTCATATACCAAATTATGTATATTATGTAAATGTAAATATGTGTGTATGAAATCTGTAGTCAACAGTTGGTTTACTGCAGATGCTAATATGATGATTACATGTGTCATGGTTTCAACGAGTATCATGTTAACTATGTGACTATTATGACCTGTTTTTCGATCATAACTTAATTCTTAACAGTAGAATATAATTGACATTTGACAGTTTTTAATATGGAAGAATTGTCAAATGTTTAAAGTTATTCCTGAGTTAGAATTTATCTGATATTGGAAAAATTAGGCCCTAAACAGAAAAAAATATTTGTGTAAGTTCAACCATATTCAAATCAAACAGATCTATTTAATTAAATTCATTTTTATTATGTATGAGACAATAAAAATATACTAATCTAATCAAAGATCATATTATCTATAGTTTAATCAAACTTAGTATGTTGGTTGTTGTTCGTCCCTACCAGCATTACCTGATTGTACGAGATATAAATAAGTCACCGTACTAAACCTGAATAACCTTATTGTATTTTCTTTTTTCGGCATTGACATTTACCTTTTACTAAAGATCCAAGTCATTGACCTTTGTAATTTTCATAAAATACTGCTAAATTTGTTTATGACCGGATTTAGAAGTTAATTATAGGCAGCTCGACATCGTTAGCGGTGTTTCTTCCATTGTGTAGATTTTTAATAAGAATAGACGTCTCGGCAATTTTTATAAGAGCTGCTGGAAAAATATTATTTTGAAAGAATCTATAGGAAAAAGCTACAAATATCTCTTACTCACAACAATACTCCTCAACTATGTAAGTATATAATTATAATTACAAAACCTAGTAATAGCCTAACAACTTCTGTTGTAATCAATTACTTTGTACTTTCAGCTCAAAGAGTCAAAACCATAATACAAATGAAAAACAATACACTGTGTAAAATATCTACTCACCGCCTCAGTGTGTACAGGATGCACGGCAAACAACAGTGCCGCTAGTGCAGCGAACGGACGCTGCAGTCGCGCGATAGTGACGCAAGCTCGCGCCACTAACGCGCAACATGCAGCGTGTAGCGCAACGTTGCACGCATGCCACCACCACGGCCTCAGCCCTGCTAGAGCGTGATTTAATCTGTAACAAAAGAAACATTGTTTTTTTTAAAAGACTTCAAATAAACATGTGTCCCATCCTTTGATTGCCAATGAGCACCTTTCTTCACCTAACTTCACTGACTGACTGACTGATAGACTATTATTTATTTTGTATTTGTTGACGTTTCAAAAGTACCAAATAATGGTTTAATTGAAATAAATGCTTTGACCTTGACGTTGAGTTTGGCTTTTTGCTGATATTAGGCACAAGAATAAACGTTCGTTGTCAAAGTCAAATATTTTGATTTAAAACAACCCAGACCCAAATATTCGACCAGTTACCCAACGTAATAATATACTATATACAGTATGTGCCAAATCTTATATTAAGAGCAAAATTAGTGCAAGTTCATTAAAGAAATTATGCATTAAACACTGAACAGATTACCGACTCATCTATTAAAACAAACCACGAATCAGCATAAAAAATAAATAGTCCCGAATAAAAACTAAAGCCAGCTATTAGAAGGAAACTTGTTTAGAATTCTATTCAATAATTAAGTGTGGAGAACCCACGGGTCTTAGTTTTATGATTAATGGCCCTTGTTTGTTTGTTCTAAAAGCTGCGGCTATTCTCAACTCGTTAATTTAACTTTAACTTCGCCTTAGTTGACGAAAACCTGCGAATCAATTGTGAACCTTTATAAAAGGGAGACTGAAAAACTGAACGGTTTTGATGGTGATTTCGAAAAAGTTACAGATATTTTTTAACAATAATGGTGAAATTATTTATTTATTTATTTATTTATTTACCTGAATAGTGAATTATATACCTGAAAATATCAGTTGAATGTGCTTATTGATATCCACTGAAAATGAGTTAATTTTAAAGTAATACTTATGAAGCTGTATTCCATGTATTATGATTATTGACTGAAATGGAATTGATTACAAAAAACGAAATAACAACAACAGACAGTATCAAAAAAAAACTAACATTCCCGACAACTATGGACATACATACATATCCATTTTCGGTCATTCACGTACTTTTTCGACAACAATACGACCAGGCGCACACAAAACTTCCTAGCGAAGCCAATCAATGAAAAACATCAACTCATCCAATATCCTACAAAAAGAAAACAACGAAAGCTGACCAATTTTTTATAACCAGCCATTTTGGGCATAGGGACATGAAACTGATACGTCTTAGAAAAAACGAAACTTCATGGTTATCCAACTGATAGGAATGATATTTTTATTGCCATTATAATACAATACAATCAACTTTTATTGCCACAGACTGCCACGTTGATCGTGTGGTTCATGCCAGCGCGATTTCTGAGCAAGAAGATTCAAGTTCGATTCTTGGATCTTTCAAAGAATACCGATCACAATTACAGACTCCGTTTTAATAATGAATATTGTTCAAAATGCTTAACATGCAATTGGGCTGTCGAAAAAATGTACTGTGGCCTCGATTTCTGAGCAATGTTTGTGTGACCCACAAATTCTTGTTTCAAGTCTGGCTATCGTGTGTATGTGATATTGTGTATTTTTAACGCACTCACGATACAGGAGAAAACCCAGTGTGAGGCAAAGTTTTACGAACTCAGTTAATGTTCGAACCGGGCATCAGACCTGAATTCGTTTGCTCGGCTGCCGTACTTGCAGCCAACTAAGCAGTCGTCTGATAGCTGATGTTATTTTTATTGCCATCACGATACGATACAATCAACTTTTACTGCTTCAGATTATGGAGTAATCGTAATGTGGAACAATTACGTAACGCAACTGGTGACATAAAGATTCCTATCGTGCGAGCGTATATTTTGTTGATGTAAGCAATAACTGAGGAATTTTTATTGCGTCTGCGTTATTATATTGGTTTCGTGTGTTATGATGTTATAGTAAAATGTTTAATCGATATTTACTAAATGATTTTCTTTGAATGAAGAAAATCACTTTCAGTAACACTGAAGTGTAAATACACAACTTCAAACTCCTTACTAATACAAAAAAAATCGGAATACAGGACACCAAGCAGCCCAATTTAGAAATTCAGCTAAACTCTAAAGTCGTTCCATAGCTATCTATTGAAAATACATACAAACATATTTTCACGCTTACCTCCTATTGAGGTAGGTAGAATAGATTCTACTACAACTCCACCAATCATCAATTTGTTCATGCACGTTCGATAGTAACATTTTTATAAAAAAAAATCATGTAAAACCTGATACTCCTATATAGCTAACATACTCGTATCACTGCATTATTGCATAACCCAGTGAGTGACACATATATACACATACATAATTAAGTTTTCTCCCCCACTTCGCGGAAGTGAGCTCGATACCAGTACAACGGTGCGTTACTTATGCACGTCCATAATTCGCCGTAAGTAAACTACGTGGCGGAACCTTTTTCCCTACAATTTACTCTGAGACGTGCGGCCCTTATAAAATGGGTAAAATATACCTTCCTGCTATACCAACACGTCTATGGAAGAAGATAAACGAGCTATTTTTTTGATGCAGTTCACCTGCGTAGAACAGGTTTAAAAGCTTATACTTGTTTATTTTTTACTTAAATTATTATTTGAAGCTTATAGCTTAGAATAACTAATTTGGTTCTTCTCAAATCAACCGCGCATACTGGCTACGTCGTAGTAGTACTACGCCGTAGCAGTACTACGTCGTAGCAAGATATTTTGTTACTATCTTACTATGATTTATTGGTCTTTACTAGTTTGTGAAACAACATATTTAGGTTAGTATTAAATCACTACAATAACAGTATTTGCTTGTCTAATTAGTCGTATAAACATGGGTGTTATTACAACTAGCTTTATTTAATCAATGGTGTATAATATGTTAGTGATAGGCTGTTTAGTGTCCATAAGATACCTCGTTCCGTGTGCTAACTAACACAATGCTTTATAATAATCAAAATAAATAACCAATCTCCAAATCCAGACAAAACAATAGCGAGTCAAAACATTCGGCTTCGATATTTAAATATCACATTAATGGCTGATAAATATCAGGAGTGCTCTCCATCGCGGGTGAGTATCCCTGTATAGTCAAACATCAAAATACTACCTCTGTGCCTGTGATTTAATTAATTTACCTATTAATTGTATTATTCTTGATCCCTACTTGAGTTTAGGTCTGTGTAGAATGTTTACAAGCTGAAATGGAGTGTGTGCAGAATCAATGAAATATATATATTCAATTTACATCACTGTACTAATATAACTATACACATACATATTAGGTATTTTATTTAAGGGGGAAATCACCGAATGACTGCTCCCGCCTGGGTGAAGCGGGAGGGAGTGTCAGACTCTTACTGACTAAAAACCACCCCGTTCCTTCTCCTGCGCTTCGAGCCGGAGCCCTGGTAACCCTTTAGGTTCTCCGCGACATACATATTAGGTATGGTTTATGCTTCTTTGTCTTAATGCTAATCAAAGTGTTCAATGACTCCTTATACATTTCAGCATCAATATAGTCAGTGTTACTAGTCAGTAAAAAGTAGAAATGCCACATATTTTCAACGTTTTTCATAATTTTGGATACAAAATAACAATAAAAAATGAGTTGTAACCAGATATTTTCATAGAATCGCATAGGGAATATATTCTCTATATCTTATTTCATAATTCAAGTCACTGCAAGCTTAACAAGCATACATAAACCATTACTTTGTCAGTCTAGTGTCTTGTTTGTGCAAACTAATTTTTGATGCATGTATGTTGTATACCCTCCATAAACTGTCAAACACCATGCGGTCACCGGTGACCGCAACCTATTGTTCTATAATTGTGTCTACAATGACAGTACTCGACGAGTTAAGGATTCATTCAGTTAAGGTACAATAAATAGAGGATTATAGCTACGATTTTGCAAACGGGTAGACTTAATAATAACACGTACCTTCATATTTATACTTCGATTTCAGCTATTAGTTATCTAGTACCACGAAAATAGGAACCTACCCCAATATCACCAAATAATGGGAGTGTTCATTTACATTCACATTACACCCAGACCCGGAGCAACAATTTGTAGATATCACAAAAAGTTGCTCCGTGCGGTCATCGCACCCAGCACAGGTAGCGCGGTATCCGGGTACCTAGCCACCACACCCACCGTGCAGTCGACCATCAAAATAATCTCACTAAATGTGCAGGCAATAAAATAATATCTAAACAATACCTGGAATTCCATACGAATTTTTAAAATAAAGGCATTCTCGAGCAAGAACAAAAGACGGTTGTAAAGACGAAAAAAAAATTGAAACTCAAAAAACGGTTCAAAAGAAGACCTTCAGCTATGGGATTGTAGATAATAATCTGGAAGTCTGAAAGTCTTTGAAAAGCCTGTCATACTAAAATCTTTGTTTCTTTTTCTCTATGTTAGCGGCCTACTTCCGAAGTCTGTCTTTAACAAGGACTGTTAGTCTCAAAGAAATGCCTCGTCACTTTTGTGCCATAAGTCGTTGTACAGTCACGTGCGATGATAATGCTAGGTTAGGAATTTTAATACTTATCTACCTACATGTTTATAGATTAAACTGTGTTAAAATTGTATCTGTAGTAAGTAGAATATGCAAATGAGTGCGTGAAACTAGATTTATTTGAAAGTCAAGTCGTTTATCAACCTTATGTTTTCTGTAATTTTCTATTACATTTACCAGAATTCAAATTGCTACAATTAAATTTTTGTTACTAACAATGACGAACTTACAATATACAGATTTTTTGTGAACATACTTTCCTAAAATATACTTTACGGGGTCGAATTAATTTTATATTCAAAATTACAAAAATACAGTTCCAACACGCACACAAATATTGCAATGTCCCACCATATTGCTGACGAGACTACAGACACTCTCATGCACTCTCTCCAGTGCTTCCATATTGGCAAGACAGAGAATTGAAGTGACCGCAACTTTTATTGCGATGCCAATATTCAAAGAGCGAACGACTGGCATATGCGAAGAGATCGAATGTCACAAGAGCCGATA